AATTTCTTTTCTATTACTAAGTTAAATTCATTTTTTCATTTACATATGTTCTGACTAAATAAATTTCTAAAGAGAAAAATAAACTCCAAAAAGAAAAAACATAGGCATTTCGCTGATTTTTTCATGTAAAGTGCAAAACCGGCGATTTTTTGAAATGTTTGTATGGTGAACCCCCAGGGGGGTTCCAGGGGGTGTGCCACTGGCATCGGTGGGTCGGGCCTCCAAAGTTAGTGGGGGTCGGTCATACATTTGGACTCGATTGGAGCACTCTAAATGGGTCAAAGTGGGATTTTTCAAAATTTCCCCTACCCAAAAGTTCGACCCAAATTGGGGGACATCAGAATTCGTTTTAGAGGTATGGTTCCTTCGGCAAAGTTTCTTATTTTGATCCCTAGAATATGATTTTCCCAGAGCAATGGGCGATTTTTTTGCCTCCCCACAAATCGACCCGGCCTATTATTTATAAGTTTTAGCTGTAAATAAACTTTTAATTTTTATTATCTGAATTAACTTATTAAGTTCCAAAATCATTTTCATTAAATTTTGCTTTATTTAAACTTAATCGGTTATAATGTTTCATAACTTAATACAAGTGTAATGAATTTATTTTAAGTATAATATAATAGCACCATATTTCTAAACAGTTTTTCTAAATAGAAAATACAAACTTTGTATAACATAGTGTCGAGATAGATGACAAATTTAATGCACAATGAATAAATGTACAAAAATCTATTTCAACTTAGTGCCGTGTTTGTTTTTAAAATGTTCTCTAATGATTTCATAGTTGTAATAGTTGGTTTTGCATATAATTGTGAATCTATCCTGTGGATTCACATTTTTTGCACGGCTTCCAATAACTACCTAATTGGCTTTGATTTTTGAATTGCAACAAGGACTTTCTCCAATTTTTCACATTTACATTTTTTTCGAGTAGTTGCTCGGCAGTGTGGGGTTCACTGTGTATGCAAAGATTAGCAAAGTCATTTGTGGTATTTTTTGCAATAACTTACTATTGGAATTTTTGTTGCAATTTTTTTTTAATATCTCCTGGCTAATCAGCATTATTTGCGTCCATCTTATTTAAGTAAGCTGGGGCTGGTATTTGTGGCTAGAGATGATGATTCACCTGCGCATCTTTCACTAAATGGCTGTGTATCGCCAGGGCCGAAACTGTTGATAATGTTATTCATGCTGAACGACAGTAGTGAAGATTATTGCTGATTGTTGACTCAAATTGTGCCCCAAAGCACAAATCCATAAATCCACAGCTATAATTGGAAGTTCTCTTCCAGCATTCACCATGCAAAATGTGTAGCTATAAAACTACGATAATATTTTTATTTACGTCGAATACTTATTCTAGAGTTTTAACGTTTCACTGGAATTCTATATTTAACCGATTGCAAGCAAAAATATTAAAAATTATGGCTTGTTTTCAATGTTTATATGTTTGTTTACAAAATGTGCGCCATCTTGACACAATCTTGACACAATTCAAAGAACGTATTTACATACGTTCTTGGCATTTTTTACGCTCTTTGCTGCAATGGCGTAGATGCGCAGATCGTAAATTTTTTGTTCACCGTCGACCGCGCAATCTATTTTCTATCATTCTTGACCAAAATTGTAGAAAATTTGAAATAAATTACTGCAAATAAGCTAATTATGTTTCTAAATACAACTTTTTGGAGCCTTTTAAACTAATTTGTCAAAATCACCTCTCTTTTTTGTACAATTGAAAAACAGGTATGACGGTTTAATGTACTAGAAATTTCAAAAAATCCATACATCGACTATTTATACATCGAGTGTAAGATTTTCGATGCATCGATGTTTCTCCGACATCCCTAGGCAGAATCAAACTTTTAATTTTCTTTTATAAAGTGAGAATATAATTGTGCTAAAGAGACATACATTTTTGAAGATGGATCAAAGAACTTTTCGACTTGTGTAAATTTTTAAAATTATGAAAATCATGTTCATAATGGTAAAGCTGTATATTGATGCACGCCAACGCTTAAAAAGGAGACGGTGGATCCGGCGAGTAAACCTTGCGAGGAAACGGCTTGGATTTCATGGAGTTAGCTTCGCTCTACTAAAGCTGAGAGATGAAGAACATTTCTTTAAGGCCACGAGAATGACTGTGCCTAAGTTCAATGTCCTTCTTAATTTACTTAGAGAGAAGTTGCAAAGGTTTTCCAGAAGAGAGCCAATAGACGAAGAGACCCGTTTGGGTATGACGTTGATGTAAGTAAATGCTTACCATATACATAAATATACATATGTACATTTACACATATACCTATATTATAAACCGATAATAAATATATTGCCAGATACTTATCACAAGGATGTAGCCCACAATTTTTGGCATTCTCTTATAAAATGGGAGTCTCAACAGTAAGGAAAATCATTTACGAAACCTGTGATGCGATTTGGAGTGAGCTGCATGCAATTTATGTTGCACAACCAAATTTAACAGAGTGGAAAAACATTGCCAACGGGTTTGTAAAAAAAATGTTCCTGAAATATGGTAATCGTTCTATTTTTTATTTCAAAAGATTTTACATGAAAAGTAGAATGCCCCATTGCCTCGGAGCAGTTGATGGCAAGCATGTCAACATAATTTGCCCGAAGCGCAGTGGCTCCTTATACTAAAACTACAAAAAAACGTTCAGTATACTAGTCCTAATGGCAGCGTGCATTGCTGATTACTCCTTTACCTTCGTTGATGTCGGTGCATTGGGAAGTCAAAGTGACGGTGGAGTTTTCGCTCATAGTGCTTTTGGGAATATGATATTGAGAAACAACATCATGCTACCTCCAGATGATAGCCTGCCTGGTAAACGAACAATCTTAATCCTAATCTTAATATGTATGAATATAAATCCGAATGCTACTCTTAATATTAATCTTTAATCTAATCTTAATCTTACTCTTTATCCTAATATACTTTTAATATTAATCTTTAATCTTTTTAATTTTTTTTTTAGGTTCAGATAGAAACTTTCCATATTTTTTTGTGGGAGACAACGCGTTCCCTCTGAAACGCAATCTAATGCGCCCATATCCTGGACGCAATTTGCCAACCACGAAACTAAATTTTAATAAGAAGTTATCATCCGCTCAAGTCCATATTAAAAATGCGTTTGGAATTCTCGCAAACAGATGGAGAATACTTCATACC